CAGAGAACGAAGGTTCTATATAAGACTGGCACGTCTGCCATTAGATAGGAGCTTCGTGCTCAACTTAGTTATCAATCTTATCATTATAAGAAACCTGGATGTGCCTGTCGAGGGTTGCGCCTCTTATTATGACAAGTATCACGTGAGCACGTGATTCGTGACAGTAATTACCAATAATATAGGACAAAGTAAAGAGTATATTCATGTCACGAATCACGTGCTCACGTGATACTTGTCATAATAAGAGGCGCAACCCTCGACAGGCACATATCTCCTAGCGAATACGCTATCTTGAATCTGGTCGTCTGCTCCTCAAGCAGAAGGAGGCCGTACAAGCCAAAATCCGCGCTCTATGCAGCAGCCGTATTATCCACCAACCACCTAGTCCATCGGCAAATGACCCGATCACAAAAACCAACCCACTCTCCATTCATGCCATTCAAGCAACCGGATGGCCTCCAGACATGGACGAACTATCACGCCAACCACGTCGCGGAACTCAATTCCACGAACTCCGTCGGTTCCTTAGTCAAATTCAGAATTATAAACAAGCATGGCCCTTCCTTACCCCTGTGAATAGAGATGAAGTCCTGGGTTATTATAATGCTAATACATTGCCGATGGATTTGTCGACTGTAGAAGAAAGATCGTATCAGGATCAGTATCAGACTCCGAAAACCTTCGTTGAAGATCTCAGGTTGATTGTGAGCAACTGTCAGAAGTATAATGATACGACGACGGTGTATAACAAGTGTGCGGTAAAAGTAAAGAAGTATATGTGGAGTCTTATCAAGGAAATCCTGGAGTGGGTTGATTTACTTGGAGAATGAATCAGTTTTAATACCTGTTCCTTGAAGCTATCTCAATCTCTCGATAAGCCTCTTGTGTTTCTCTTTCAAGTACCTCAATCATGAAAGCGGCCAAGAAAGTACCCGCTAAAACCGACTTCGATGTTAGAAGGCACATGCAGAATGGATCCAACATGGTTCCGAACCTCTGCAGCGAAGGAGATACTCTTGCGACATACCAATCGCCTACACCTCAACTCCTCACACCAGAAGAAATATGTACGATCTTACAAACCATCTTTCACCATCATCGTCTAGCCTCGCACAGTGTCTTATCAAAAGGCTACGTCCTTTTCGCTCATCTCGCTTAGGCGAAAATCCGGGACTGCGTCTTGAATTCTGACACTCCCTGGTGGGGATGTGATCAAGTAAACATACAATCTCATACACGAAAACTTCATTTCCATACTACTATATCCTCTTAGTAACTCATTATTAGAACTCACAGCTGACGGCCACCAAACCCGGTCTCTTAAACCTTCTTAACAGTATCTGCAGGGAAATGAAAATCGTTACTTTACAGGTGATTTCTGAGATGGTGTGTATAATGTAAAGCATCTTGTGGGTTCATGAAAGTGGGTATGTAAGCGAAGAAATATAAAGTAGGCAAAAGAGCCCGGGAATAAGAATAGAATAGAATATTTCAGCACCCAACATTCCTTACCTTGCTTACTTGTATTGGAATGTTATATATAGGAGAGAATCATTTGGACGAGAGCCGTGTAGGAAGGTACATATTCGAATATATACATGTATATCTTAGTATATATATAAATCTTTTTATATACTATATCTAAAACGAGGTTAAGTCAGATAGGCCCTTAGTAAAGGGGGCGGACAGTTAAAACTAGATACTATTCTTAACTATATTACGACTCAGCCTTGGCGATATAGACTTTTCTCGTATATGATCAGCGTGATAGTGTCTAGCTTTAATTTATATTTGAAACTAAGAAGGCATGGAAGACCCGAGTTGTCTAGAACCTTAAACGACACTTGAAAATGAGTAGCAAGGTAGCTCCGAGGAGAGTTTAGTGTGGCCTAGGCCTAGTAAATAGTGTTATACGAAGTACTGTATAGAACCTTGGGCGAGTTATCCTAATACTCTAGACGCTTCCACTCGGTCCAGGTTGTCCTATAAGAAGCCCTCTTTACTCGTAGTTAGCTAACTATTATTAACCACTTATCTATTCTACATTATGCCCTATTCGTCTTCTGACAATTGGCAGCAATGCTGGGATCTGAGCTTGTCTTGTCTCCTTAACGAAATCTACTCGTTACCGAGTAGTCTTGGACTCCGGCGCCAGGAATCGCACTTTTGTCCCGCTTTCGCCTCTTGCACTCGTACCTGCTTGCTTTTACTGCTCTTGCCGTACCGCTTTGTTCTTGCACGTGCACCAGCACCAGCATCTGTACTTGTTATTTACAAGAATACCCTTGTACTTGTGTACTTGTGCTTGTGTACATGTACGTAAGTCGCATTTTCCGCGGCTCACATTTGAGCCCCCCTTTTCCTCTCGCTAGACTAGGCTAAAAGACTGTTGGAGGTAGGTGGGTAACAAAAATGTGTGATGGGACTGGGATGGTGTCAGACGAATTTTATAATAGCGTGATTCTGAATATCTAGACGAGAGTACTTTTATATAGAGTAAACAGGTAGGGGCAACAAGACTCTTACAAGAGAAGGAACTCACTTTAATACATAGATGCTTACAAGTACTTACTGTTCACATGAAAGATAAAGGCTTTTTTAAGGTAGGGTGATAGGGGATTTTTATTTTTTTGATTGATTGATAAGGGGATAGGGGTTGGGTGTTAGGGGATACGGTGTTAAGAGTAGACTAGCTAGCGAGCTAGCTAAAAAAAATCTCATCTCGTATGTAGCAAAAGGAAATTGAGGTGGGAGTCCAAGGAAGATAACTTACTGAGTGCCTCTAGCTACCAATAATTTAATAAGTAGGGTACTCTTTTACTCATATATAAGCACATTGCCATCATCATCGTCATATATAATCACAATGTCTTCGACTTCGTCATATATAACCAGAATGTCATCCTCACATAGAATAAGGATTTTTCCATCTTCTACGACTAGAATATCTCCATCTTCGTCATATATGATCTGAATCTCTTCGTCATTGGACTCAGACTCAGATGGTGGTCCAAGGAACTTATTACCACACCTTGGTCCAACGATGTGCCCATTACCATACCGTCCCCACGGCGCCTTATCCTCCTCGTCTTCTTCATCCTCCTCATCTTCCTCACGTCCAGCTGCTGTGTAGACATAAGAAATGACTAACAGCAAGAACAAGGAGACCAGGGATAAGAAACATAAGAAGGCGGCCGTAGCTAGGGGTCCTAGTTCTATATCCATCTCGTTGTTGTTGATTGAGAGTGCTTGGGTGGTATCCAAAGTACTTGGAGTATTTGGTGTAAGGCTTGGGTGATACATTTATGATGTATGGTTTTTGCTACTGGTAATTTGTTGGTGTTAAATTGCAGTGGTAGGATGTTGGAGTTGTGAAGGGTGAAGGGTGGTGGAGAAGGGAGAGAGGTTGGGATGGTGAGGGGTTGTTATAGGTTTTGAGAAGGAGGTGGAGGAGTTGTTTTTTAAGGGCTGGGGATTGTTTTGGTATAGAGGGGATGTTTGTTTATTGTGTTTGTCTTAAGAGAATGCGGACTTGGGATAGGATTTATTATACTGATGTTTTTTGTAGTTTTATTTGTTTTAGAATAACCTTCGCTCCTCACTTCATTCTACTCTTGGAGATACGACACTCTGTATGAGTTCTTAACTTCTTAATAATTTTACTTAGGCTTAGGCACTTAAATGGCTTTTCGATTCGCGTATAAACCACCGCCCTGTTTGTAGTACCAACTTTAACAAAAAGTCAGGACAAAGAAATTATGCTTGAGGCTTTATTGAGGCAAGTGTTCCTAGAAGGAAGGAAGGGTCGTTTAGGTTATATTAGATAAAAGTCTTTATTAATATTACAACGGATAAAGAAGGGGTTTATTAACTATTCAGTTTTAAGGGACTTGATTATTTGGGCGATACTTTAGCTTCAATCTTGGGTAGCTCGACAATGCTAATACTATAACGCCCCTAACCCGAAAAACACGACGAAGCGAGTTACCTAACTCGCCTCCTTGGCTCCCGGTATATAACCTACATAAGCGCTTAGAACTCCCTTCTTCTTCTCTCCTTGAACTTTAAATCCTTGTTTACCAGGTACTTTAAATACACTTTGTTTACGGTTCTCACAAATACCACGTGAATCTCACGTGCACACGACAAAAGATGATCAAATATGACTCATACCCACTCACTCCACCACCCACCCTTGAGACAACGTACCTCCAATCAAATCCCCTCACCTGATCTGATCTGCCACAAAAACACCAAGCAGTGCGACAGTAGGTAGCTCCATAGACAGTAAGTGTACAAACCATGACGAAACTTTTCATCATAACTACTCACTAAGCGCTAAGAGGTTGTGATTTTGCGGATGAGGTATCTTGGTTGGGCAGATTATTCGGGATTGTTTGGTTTGAGTAAGCAATTTGGTGAAGATAGTCGATGATGGATGATGGGCTTTTATGAGTAGGAATGAGAGGATGTGGAGTTTGTGATGGAGTAGTACGTGGTGGGTAGTAGTATATATTGTAGAACGTAAAGAAATGAGATGGAAGAATGTAAATCAAAATATCATTCCTACTACAGTCAAAGTTACAATTATCTCCAAAGAAGAAACTGTAAGATCCGTTCCTCTTACCCGCTCCCATAAATACCAAGCCCCAAAAACATGATGACAAGAATTTTGCCGAAATGATATCTCATCAAAAGAAAATCATGAACAAACACAGGAACCGACATCGTCTGAGTTCATCCCTTCAATTTACTCCCTTGAGAACTAAAATCAAATGAGAATCTGAGAGACTAACAACAAGCGCATCATCCCTTCTTCAACAAACCCCTCAAAATTTCAACCTCTCCTTCCAACCTCGCAACCCTCATCCTCAACGCCTCCTTCTCCCCCTCACTCTCCTTGAGTCTCGCCTCCAATCCCGCCATCTGATCAACACGTTTCTGTCGATACCGGCGCGCAGCCTGGGTATTCTTGGTCCGCTTCTCGATTTTGGAGGTGTTTACATGTCCAGATGATTTTGATGGGGCCTTTGTTGTTGTTGGAGGAGATAGAGATAAAGATTGGTTTGGTGAGGTTGAAGTTGATGGACGATGTTGGTAAGAGAGTGGTGTGGTATCCAGCGAGGGATTTGTAGTTGAAGATGTCATTGGTATTGCTTCATTGTTTGGAGAAAAGTCTGTTGTTGTATGTTAACACCAAGTACACCTTAACTTATACCAAGGCATGAAAGAGATGAGTCATAAGACACAACAAGGGAAAACTTACTCATACCGCCCTCACCAACACGTAAATCCCCATCCCTTTCAGAAATCTCGATATCACGGCCGCCCATCTCGAAGTGTTCCATATCGAAGTTGGCGTAAGACCCAAAATCGAAATCTGTGGAGGAAAGTTCAGGTAATAAATCTCCTTCAGAAGACGCAGGTACCACAGGCAAAGAAGCCCCGCTCGAACCATCGCATCCAGGCACCACTGAAAGGTAGGCTTGATTGCCACCCTCAATGCCCTCCCCCACACCTCCCATCCCATCAACATCAGCAATTGCAAGCTCTCCCCAATTCCCCTCCAACCCAACATTTTCCAAGCCACCACTCAACCCATCCCACAACCCATCCCACAACCCATCCCATCCCCCATTCTCCCACCCACCAACCTCAAATCCCATTCCAACCACACCACCACCCACTCCATCATCCCAAGAAAAACCACCCCCAAAACCCCCATCAAGGAGGTCTACAGCTAGATCCTCCCTGTTGCGGTTGGAAGAAAGCTGTCGCGATGTAGATGGTACAGGCCGTTGTTGTTCCTGTTGCTCCGACCATCCTGAAATGTTACTTTGACGGGCCCCGGACGACCCGTAGTATCAAGAATCCGATGTTGTCAGTTACGATTCCTTCTGAAGAGGAAAAGTGGTTGGTGGTGGAAGAAAGAAAGGAAGGAAGGGAAGAGATCGAGAGTTTGGAGGGGTAAATAAGGCAGCTACGGGTAGCAGGGATTGGGTCGCTACGAGTAGCTAGCGTAGTACGTTCGTAGTCAGCGTAGTACAAAGGGGGCGTGCCAAGAGGATGGCTGATGAGGCGAGGAGTCATCTATCCTTGGAGGTGCAGATGTCGTATTACAAGATAAGGGATCTACGAATTGTACGCAGAATACTCGTACTCTGGTCGATTTACGGTAGCTATTACTCCTCAATTTTGAGAATGTTTGAGAAATACTATTTTTTATCCAACTAATTTCAACAATGCCCATCCCCCTCAAAAGAAACCTCACCTAAATAGAGATCTTAGAAATACCTTTTTTTCCCTAAACAACTCAACTCTAACAGCCGACCCAAGAGATGGCTCAAATGAAAAGTCTTCCTGTTATTAGATGAAAATCACAATCTTCTCTAAAAGCATGATTCCAAACGTATGACAACCCCACACTGCTAGTAATCACCAAGTCCAAGTTTCCACTAGAAAAGAGTTGTTCAGCTAAAGGCGTTCATTCTCAATAAGACATGGTGGACAATGCATCCTCTTAGCTCTACAGAACAACACAAAACCCTAATGAAAAACAACACTATCCAAATCCCATAATTCCACCCAGCCTCCCAAATCTCCTTTCTCGCTCCCTCTTCAACCCCACCTTTCTACTTTCCCTCGCCGCATCCCAACTTCACAACCCAGCCTTAGCCATCTATTCAAATTACCAAGCTACAACACATCAACCATGTACATCCCAACCCTCATCCCCCGATCATCTCCCACTCCAACCGTACCATCACCATTCAGCACTCCTTCGCCCTCAGACGAAAACTCCGGAGCCTTGCTCAGAGTAGTAGGTCCCATAGCCGGGATCGTTTTTTTGCTATGGTGCGTCTGCGTCGTTTCCTTGGTTTGCGCTGCTATGGCGGCACGGCGAAAGAGACGTCGTGGGAAAGTCGAGGCGTATGAGTGACCGCAACCACTGAGTGATACTGGGGCAGTTAGGAAACCTAATATCTCTTCGTGGTGGTCTATGAGGTAAGTCCTTGGTTCTATACTCTTCTTTTTAAACGTATAGTAGCTATAGGACTCAGCTAAGTGTTATCCTGGCCTTGTTAACTTACTTACCCTTTTTAAAAAATCCATAAAATTATACACTTCAAAATAACAAGATCTATATTTATAACGTGAGTCCCTATACCGTATTAATTGGATTATAAGATATCATGCACGAATAAGATATTACTACGGTTGTAAACATGGTTCTATATAGTCCGAAATTGTGAGGATTGAAACCCATGATGGAGGCTCGGGCCATGCCCTCGCTAAGCACTGACCAAAGTCCCCGCTCAGCACTGGCCATTCCCCCACTGCCAAGCAAGTCTCTGCTGTTCCATACTTTTCTGTTCTATTCTTTTGACATCATGTATTCGTTAGGCAGCTTCCTGAAATATTCCAGAGACTCTTCCTCTCTCTATATATAGAGGAAGAGCTTGCATGTATGTAGTCTTCACGCGCTTCTTAATTGAATATTCGAAACCACACCTTTGAGCTATTCGAGGTCTGGCCTCTCACAATCTCCTTCTATTCTAGTATAAGGGGTTAGTGTAACGAATACTCAAACTGGCTAACTAAACTTGGCTGGGTGTTCGCTGGTTGGTATGCTATGATAAGAAGAAGACTATCGGGTTGTTCACTTGGAAGTGAACTCGTTACTTGTATCAAAGATGTCAAA